ACGTGAACTATCCTTTAAAAACACTATGGGTTCTAATGTAGCTTTTAGTCTGCTAGTGTTTACAAAATGTTTCTACAAATCCTTTCAAATCTCCCAAAAATTGCATTTGTCAGGTCTTAATATTACTAGTATGTACAATAGATCCTGACATTTTCATAAAACATAAAAATGAAGTAATGAGAAATATACTCAACCAAAAGTGTTTTCACTTTAATGCCATATTTGCACAAATACAGATGACCTTCCCCACTAAGCCAAAACATAAAATATGAACAAAAACTAAAATATAAGTGGTGGTTCAGGGCCCTGAGACACACACACGAAACATTTATCGACTGGATACAATCACAAACACTCTGATTGGCCAAACACTACAAATGTCACGAAAGTTCTAACCCTATGCTCCTAGCCCACACAAGCGCGACAATCGGTGCATCCCAAAATAATTGTTCGTCGGACGTGTCCACAGTACCAGGAGGTTGACAAAAGACGCGCGAAGCAGTAGGATCACTAGTGTGCACGACGACGTCATGCGTCGACGCACGAGCAGATGTGGAACTGCTTATTTCCCAACACGCAGGCCACGTTGCACCCGACGTGGCACCAAAACTACTCTTTCAGCTCCAGGCTTCAGCTTCAGCTCCGCTTGGACGTGGCAATGAGACCACGATCCCGACCAATTGAACGGAAACAACAGCTGCTCGCCCGGCTGCTCGCTTGCTCACCGCAGGAGCAGCACTGCTATGCCGGGTCAATACACTCGCTCTTCCGGCGAGCAGCTGTTTCCGTTCAACCGGCGGAGATCGTGGTCTCGGTGCCACATCCAAGCGGGTCCGTCGCAAGCCAGAACTCGAAGCATGGCCTCGGTGCCACGTCTGGCGCGACATGGCCTGCATGTCGGGAAACGAGCAGTTCCACGTCTGCTCGTGCTCGTGGTGATTACACCCGTAGTTTAAACAGTATGCCATATTTGTGTATTATAGAGCAAACAAAGTTGGTACCTTCTATGAGCAAACTAACTGAATGCTTTAAACTAAGTTTATGCAAATGAGGTGTTCACACAAATTATGCCACTGATTGAAATACGCTATCACTAGTTGTGCCTTGAAACATTGAGTGAGCACAATAAAAGCTGTAGTCGAGGAGAAGAGAAGCTTAAAGGGATAAAAAAATCTGAACAGGGGGTGTCGGTAGAGTAAAAATTTTGACTTCCAGTCTTCGTTTTCAGGGCAGCTGCTATGAAAACAAGGCCACTTGTCACAGAGTTGGCTCTAGCAGCACTCCCTATTCAAGAATTTTTTATCTAAGTGAGTGTGTACCTTAACACTTTTGCTAACGTTGACGCGGGTTAATATGAATGATATTGCATTTACTCAGCTTGAAACTTCTCGGCTCTTTAGTTTCCTTCAGCTGTGGTAGCTGCTACTGCCGCATTTATGTCACAGTGGTGGATTTGAAGTGGCTGTACAAAAAAGCAACAAAGGAGTGGCTAAGCCAGAAATTCAGGCTAGTTGGTCTGCCACAATGGTACAGTCAGTACAGTGCAACGAGCAGTTATTTGCAGGTTTTCTTGGTTTGCTTTGTGCGCCTTGCTACACCCATGATGATTGCAATTTCAACTCGCGAAATATCGAGCAATTCAAGTCCATTGTTTTGGATACAGTGTTGCAGCACATGTGATGCAGAGATAGCTCCAGCAAATGTTGGGTGCAGGCGACGTTTTCAAATGGCATTTCTTCCATGTCGCCATGTCTTCCATGTCGCCAGAAACCAACCCGTCAGCAACAATTTTCACATCCACCTGACTTGCATCATTGCTACCTCCTCATCGACAATGACAAAATCTTCAATGAAGGCTCGGGGCACAGCGCGAGGAGCACCAGCGATTTTGTTTCAAAGACGGACAAACTCGCCATTGTCTACAACTGTGCTTACGGATTTGGTAAAGTCGATATACCCAAAGTACAGATCATTACAAAATGTACATTTCACATAAATAGATACTACAGCTTTGAATATAAATATAAAGCAGAATTCGTTGTACCTGGGCTCTCTATGATCAGATTTGACAGTAGTGATAAAAAGACAAGGACAAACAAAAGCAGCACATATACCAAGAGTCATTATTAAGAATGTTTTTGTATTTTCATCATGGAAGATTCATATATTAAAGGTGTAACAAGCTGGGTGCAATGCATACTTTAACACTACTTCTGAGTGAACTGAGGAATTATACAGAAGAATAAATTAAGACGACTCAGAAATGAAAGACTGCTGGTGCTGCAACTGTGAAATTCCTCAATCGGCTCGCTGCGATTTTATGGACTGACAATACCAGTCTTCACTAGTTAACTTGTAGTCAAGTCTACATTTTGGCTATTTTGATTAAACAACTCCAGTTAGAAAAAGGATCATTGAAAACAAGGACAGAGCGAGACATTTCAGTGGGAAATATTATGGCCAAGAAGTAATGTGCAAGGTTTATTGTATGGCTTGAATTTATGGGAACAACCGGTCAACTGGTATTTTCAGAAACTGCAAGTAGCAGCCTTCTGTGGAAGTATGAGCTATTCACACATACCGCTTATCTCTACGAACTACTATACTAAGCTTATCTTTACTAAGCTTTGCCAAACTATTCACAGCTCCTTACTATACCAACTTACACAATGTTTATTCATTTAAAGGGGCTGCGCAGGACCCTATCAAGGGACACAAGCCTCACACTAACATTTCAGCTCGTGGTCTGGTGCTCTAAAATGTACAACATAAATTACGACACTGACTGAGGCATTAGATTTCCCTCTGAATGATGCAGTAAAAAAACTATGGCATATCATGCATGTAAAGTATTAAAAACACGGAGTTTCACAAATAACTAAGATTTTGATAATCTAGGTGAAGTCAAATACAAACACGCAATATACTAGTAGGTACTAAATGCTTAGCTTTTCGGTGTCGTTTGAGAGCTCTTTCTACCAAGAGAACCATAGATTGGACGAAGCAATGTGCTTCCTGGTGCTGAGAAAGGAACAGAAAAACCAACTGGAGGACACGCTAGACTCGCCTTAACAAAAGGCCCACTAACTTTGCCAGTACCACTGTGAACGAGTAATTCGTGATGCACGAAAAATCTGCATGCATTTTGGAATGGGCAGCACAAAAAGCGAAGACACTGGAAGTACTAGACACCGCACAGCACTGATGATGTGATAAACTGTGTAATACACCTAATGCCCCCATTTTTTTGTGCCGTCCGCTCCAACATACATTACCAATTTTAACTAGCCCAAATGACAATTCTTCTGAGACATCTGGAAATGAATGACTGAACGCATTTTGCGCAAACCACACATTTCCTGTGGGATGAATACTAGTAAGTATAGATTATATACCTGTACAAGCTGGCTGCATAACAGCAGCGAAAATTGGATAAAAAAGGCTGACAAGCAAAACAGTAAAAATTTTTTGTTTTCAATAAGTTTGCTAGAAACAAATACAGTGATGCTACCGAGGTCTGCTGATTTGGAGCAATTTCTGGAACTAAAAAATTTATATATTGGAGTACTTTGCAACAGAAAAATCTGCATTTTGGAGCGCTTTGGAGTAGAAAAATTTTCAACTTTGGAGAAATCCGGAGCAGGTAACTTTACATCCTTCAGGAGAAGCAAGTCACATTTACATAAAGGACATGAATAATTATTTTGGGCCCTTGGGAAGAGCTAGAAATATTTCATTTGATTGCAAACCTTATGGAACCAAACCATTTTAGGAGCACTCCCTATCTCAGTTGATGATGCAGAAATAATGTCATGCTGTTGAGCATTGTGGAAAAACTTGTTCAGTGACTATTTTCATAGCAATTAGACATAATACTGGTTGAATAAAATAGCACACTCCAAATCCCAAAAAATACAACTTCATGAGAAAAAATATATTATTTTGACCCTGACAATATACTCTGCTAAATAATTTGCGCTTGGCTGGTCCTCTAGCATGCGTCTGACCTCGATTGAGGGTTAAACGATGGTTCTGATAGTAGCAGCAGCATCCAACTCTCCTGCATTTAAAATTGGTGTGCCCGTGTTCTTTTGTGCCTCCTTTTGTCTTTGAGCCAAGTTCGCACTGCAGCCAGCTGCTTGACGAACAGTGAATGCATTAACCACACATCATCATCTTCAATCATTTTCTTTTAAAATGCCCCAGGAAGATTTTAGCACAAGAACGGATACGCTGACATGGAATAATGACGGCTTTTGTCCCATTATAATGCATGCCTTTCTTTCTTTTCTTTCAGGCAACATTTGTTCAAACATTCATTAGGCTACGTGATTTGAGACAGAACAATACCAAAGCAGCGTTCACAGTAACCTAGTTGGGACCAAACTTACTAATCTTTGTCACCACTGCCGTCAAAGATGGCGACCACAAGCAAATGAAAAGAATGACACACCTCTTTAAGTCTAACCAAGAGTGCACTTCCAAGCGAAAATTTATATTACTTATTGAGCTAGTGGCAAGAAGCTGCTTGAAATATTCTCGGCATTACAGAGAATCACATGTATAGCAGGACAGACAGGCAAAGTGGTCCATCTGACATGTGTCAACATCCCATTCGAGGTTACTGAGAAGTCCTTCGATCAATGAAGGACAGTAAGTGCGCTGGCAGTTGTATGTAGGACATATTTTCTTCTTTATAGTGCTGAAGTGCTGGATAAGAGGGTTGCATAACATCAAATGAAAATTTTATTGTTTTTTGGCTTCATGTTTTCTTATTACCAGAAAGAAAGATGGGATAGTGTATTTCCTGCTCGAAAAGTAACGTTTGTCTGCTAAGTTTAGACAGTGAAATGCAATTTTAACCCTTTCAACACATAAAATATATGAAGGACATGCTACAACTAGGGCAAATGCTGCTGAATGAGTATATGATGTGCTTTCTTCCTTTTACTCAGCTAGATTTTGTCTGTCCCTTCATGGCAGAATTCACTCAAATAAACTACTACAAAGAAAAAACTCTTTATTGCTGAATAATCTTCCAGAGATCTCTTTGAGCTTTAAACACGTGCTTCAAGCATTCCCTGTCATTGAAAAAAAGAACAAAAAAGCCACAGTGATGGAAGTTTGGTTTGAGAAAACTTTATTCTCAAAGTCCGAAGGCGTGCACCCTAGAAGTGATGGAAGTGACATTTAATATTTCACAAGAAGAGTACTACTTTCGAGCAGCCGTAAATGTTTACGGAGCAGAAAAAAATGCTAATTAAGAGTAGCCACTGGTATTTTAGGAGCAGGAAATTGCCCATACTATAAAGAAGTTCAGAGCATCGTCGAAGCATCTGGTAAATGCTAATGTTATATTCAAGAGACAACAATCAATATAAATTTCATGAAGCAAACAATTGCAGGTTGTCAAAAAAGTGCTCTGAAATAAGCTACAATTAAAAATACTAGTATTTGTGGCACAAATCAAATAAAAACTGGAAAAGCTGAGTGCCATACTTTAGAAGTGAACACAGTCCAATATAAGTGTTGCCAAGTAAGCAGTAGATAATCGGCATGAGGTAAACACAATCCTGCTAATTTTCACATTTCACCACACTAGCCTGCATGTCTAACAGAGAAAAAAAAAAGAACAGCCAAATGAGATATATGCTTAACATGCCAGCTTTTGTCACGCAAATCAGATCAGAGCTGATAATGCTGCACACATGTAGCACACTGGGATGATAGTACACATATTCTTTTCAGTTTCTCTAGTCGATCAAACACAAAAATTCGTTATTCTCATTCTATAGGTGTCATTTCAGAGCAGCTCTGGAGCAATTCCTAACAAAAATTACTGTTAGGAGCAGTTTGAAGCAAGTCGGAGCAGCACAGCACTTCCACTACGGTTGCCAGATCTGCGCGGAACATGCAACATAGTCACGACCAAGACTGGAAGAGTGGCCTGTCAGAGTCTTTTCTAAACACTCTTTCGGGTAACTACAAGAAGCACACTTAGATAGGTGCCCACTATGCCACAAATAATTATAAATTTTGTGCAGTAGGCGGGCCCACGGTTTTGAATGGCCTTTATTATGCTATCCTTCGTCATTTTTCGAAGAAGCGTGAAATCCCCTGCACACTTGCAAAGAATTTGTGCAAATTTTTTATGGAGTGGCTGGTGACGACGAAGCGGGTATGCGCCACACTTGATAGGTGATCAAGAACAAGCTTTTGTAATGAGTTGGAGCATTGAACGCACTCGTTATGCAATTCGTACGCTGTGATGCCTGGTACATCCTTTGCTGTTCTAAAACGCTTTATTATTCATACCAATGCTATTCCTTTCCCTACATGAAGCCTGCCTTTCCCTACATGAAGATTCCTTTCCCTACATGAAGCCTGCCTAAGGAGAGCTTGCAACAAAGTTACGGGCACGGGGTGGCTCTGCAGTAGAATGCTGGGATGTGATGCAGGGAACCCGGGTTCGAATCTCGCTCTGTTCTCCGTGTTATTGTTTCCATTTTTTTATTTATTATTTTGTGCAATAGTCGTTAAAAACACCGGCAGCAGGAAACTACGGCACCACACGCGACCCTTCTTGTGATTTCATAACAGCTTTCCCTGTGAAAAGGAATCATGCTACAATGTTACTTAATTGAAAGAGACAGCCCTTAAGAAATTAAACACACAAACAATGGCAAAATTAAGTAGGAGACGGTGACTTGCCACTGAACCCTGGAGTGAGCCCAGCTAGACACTAGGAGTAAGTAGTGCTCAAATATCGTTTTTCGCTCTGCCAGAGTAGACAAGTAGGTCAATTGTGGCAATCAGATCTGCCAGGCCTCAGCGGACAGCCTGAAAACATCCAGAAGGAACATTATGAAATGCAGTGTACTTTTTTGCTTCCCGACACAATTAAAATTATTATGTTCACCGTTCACATTTCTTGAAGTTTCTCTCTTTCTGCACTGAGATAGATATCATTTATTCTATTGTAAGGAGGCTACTGTGCTCATTTAGGAAAATAACAATTTTAACATTGATCACCATTACAGAAAAAACTCATCAATTCCAACCCGCGCTAGTTAGAACTTGCAGTCAACTTGAACTGACGCGCTGGTCCCGGCAGCACACTGTTTATTTCTATGGAGGCGGGGGACTTTGCAATTCAAATGCGTTGGTATCCACAAAAGTCAATTCCACAATGGTACATACAGCCGCCCATTTCTTTTTTAGACCTGGGTCAATAAACGCCGATTCCCGGCATCCTGGTGTCCGGTTCTCTGAACAGCCATGCAGAAAGCAGTCGCACATGGCTGTTCATCAGGAATATGTGCGTATTGTCCTTCCTTTCGCCGCCATGCTTCGTTATACGGCGCTTATCGACGGGACGGTCAACGCTCGCGCATTCAGGTTAGAAAAATGGCCGGCTGTACTTTAACCGACACAACACATTCACTACTTGGCACAACACAACGTACTACTTCAGCAGCGGCACTCGTCACTGACCTATAGATGCAATATCTCAGCAGCTTCACAAAGCTTTCCAGATATGTTTTGGGTAGCCAGAATGCAAAAAGGCGGCACTGGTATGTTCACCACTTTCGCAAGTGTCGGCAAGGGCGAATGGCATCTCCAGAATACAGCTCAATATAACTTCCTGCTTTATCACATTACCGCTCACAAAGGGTCTCGCCCAAGTTGCAAGGTTCCGCATGGCTGACGGTTCGAACAGCGCCTCCTCTATTGCTGGTTCGAACCATGGAGGAAGAAGAAAGGTTGGAAAATTCACGTCGATGGCGTTAGAACTTTCGCTGCAACCGTCTCTTTACCCTGAACTTGGTCATATCTGCTAATAAAAACATTCAGCCCATACGAGTACCAGTGCTACTACAGACAGTATACAAATTACAAAACGCGCACAGTAAATGCTTCATTTTTTATTTCTTTTAAAAACTTATTCCGATAAAAAAAGTGAACAGAAATATATACATTTAGCGTGTGTGTTTGTTAGCTTATCAGTTCGTTGTTGTTTTTTACCACACAACGTCTCCGGATCCCGGATAGATTCTGTGAAGAAATAAGAGGCTGCGCTCATTAGGGGTTTAAAAGCGCAGGCAGTTACATAACTTGTTTCACGCTGATAATAAATATAAAGTATACTTGTATATAAAGGTTTGCGCTTTGTGACCGACGCATTATTGCACATTAAAAATGAATGTCGTAGTAGCAAACATAATTGTCTGCATTTGTTAGTTTTAAAAGAAAAAAAGTCGCACCACATTTGAGGACGTGGGTGATGATCATTTTAATTGAGGCTGTCTTCGGTAACTTGTTTCTTGCGAACACCGAATTTTTGAGATTTCTTCCTCATCGGGACGGCTTTAAGCTCTCTCATAGTAGAGTACAAAGTACTCTAAATCGTTACCCACTTTTTCTACCCCCCCCCCCCCCCCACCATGCTCTCTATCCAAACACATGCTACTCTCCCATGGTAGAGTACAAAGTACTCCCTATGGTTAATCACTTATTCTTAACACCCAAGTTTACACTCGCTAATAGCTCTGTGTCTTCATTGTTCTTTTGATTTCGGGACACCCCTCCCCCCCCCCCCCCGGAACCTATGTGAACCGCTGTTTGGGCATATAGCGTTCCTGTTTATATAAGCTTAATCATCTCGATGCTAATAAATGTCTTGTCCTTGTTGTACAATTTTTGCATTGTACATCACTGCATACGCAAATAAGTTATGTAGGCTGCATATAACAGCTTGCACTGTACATACGCATGATCATCATTGTCTATCTCTCTGTGTGCACATAAGCTATGTAAGATATATCTGGAAACAAAATTCTCATAAACCAGTTCTGAAGGCCCGCCTTGTGCGCACGTCGCTGTCTGATATATATAGTGTGAATCTCTACGGCGTAATGTCCCTGGTAAGGGATGAAGTATTCATGACAGAATTGGAACAGCGTTATGAATTTCGCGAGGTAATGCGATCCGTGGTTGTTCTGGAGTAATGTACGTGGTATGACGCTCTCGGAGCAGCGTACTTGTGCACAGGAAGGTGGTATGTGTTGCGACCATATATGCGTGGTATACATCTCGAATCGTAGAGCCCCGATTGCGAAACGAATTCGGAAGGTAACTCGTGCCTTGAGTATAGGTGTTAATGAAAAATAGCTGTGTTGTATTTTTTGTCTGGCTAAAGATATGTACAAATGTACGCAGACATGTTAAAAAGTCAAATGTGTACTGTTCGTAATGATGCCAACAGCGACACGGATGTTCAACACGAGTAGTGGGAAGCTATATAAATGTAGCGCTTGAGCCGGCGCGGACGGCGGCAGAATACTTGTTTGCAACGCAGAACGAATGGGCGCAATTCCTGCAGGCCCCGACATTTTTCGTCTATAGATTCGTCCGCTCAACGCAGCTGGCGTAAGCTGCGTGATTCCACGTAAGATCGAACACGGCATGGTTGGTCGACCTCTTTAATTTCATTCAAAATTTTATATATTGTTGCCTGATCTGGGTAAAGAAAATATGCGCAATTGGTTTTGCTGTAAAAATTCTCTTGGAAGCACAGAGTTACGTTCCGTTTGGTTCTTTCCACTCGCTTGTTGCGCGACATTTGCTGCTGCCGCCAAGGAAGCCGAAGACGAGAACTTTTCATCTGCTGGCACCTTGAGGAAACGACCGCTCCGACATCATCTGGATATAGAGACGTTTATTCGTCTCTTTTTCTCCTCCTTTCACTGTCCCTGCACCCCTGGTTTTATCCCCTGTCTCCCCATTCAACCACTCTTACAGTCCAATCGGAACGCACAGATGGTGGTGGTGGTAGTGGTTAGAAGAAGAGAACAGGCACCTAATTTCTGCAACCCGGTCGGGAGCACGGCGCAGTGCCTACACAGATGTGTCTCTCCTCGCCACAACCTCGAAGACCCACCGCCTCTTGCCCACTCATCGGTTCTCCGCCGTCGCTCGGGTTTCTTTCACACCGGTTCCCGGAATGGTCGACGACGGGTGTTGCCAGGTCGTGGAAAAGCGCCTCCGAGTAAGTTCCCGCGATGCCGGGCTGACAGGCCATCAATACAATTGGCCCTTGCCCCAATGCCGTCGCCTCCGCCGATTCTGATTGTCCGGCGGACGCGTACGTGTACCTTCCACGTGTACCGGCCACCTGCAGCCTGACTTGGTCTCCTGTAAGGCGCCATCATTGAGCCCGACAGCGGCACGGGAGTTGTCGCGTCCTTTGTGGCCAGCAGACAGTCATCGTCCCGCATTCCGGTGGCCCTGCTTCCTTGTTGGCGAGGGGTCGCCGGCCGCGGGGTGGGTAACATAAGGTATTCGGGGAACGCACGAAGTTCGAGCCCAACACACAGTAAATCAATAATGATGGAGATGGAAAATATCTGTTGTGCTGCGTTTTTCGAATTCGTCCATGAAATAATTACACAAAATATATTTATACTACGTACCTCAAAATTGTTTGGCTATAGGCGTATACTGGTCCTTACGCTCAAGTATATTGTCACGGGGTCGTGACGTGGCCGAAGACAGGAAACTTTGTGTTGGAATTTGACTGTTTATTTGGGCGAACCTGTGCCCGGTAAACGGAAAATCCGATTACAGTAGCAGTCTTGGTTTAAGAGAATTTGATTTCCGGATATATCATACAAAGCCTATGAAAAATGGACAATGGTGAACAATGCGTATGTACAATGCAAGCTCTTATATACAGCGAAAGTACTTATAGTGTATGCAGTAACGTACAATGAGAAAATTGTTCAACAAAGACAGGACATTCTTGCCTTCGAGATTAAACTTAAATAAACAGTAAGGCTATATGAACAAACAAGGGGAGGTCATTCACAGTGAAGGGTGATGTTTTGCATTCACCTGTGAGGACAATTTGCTCTCGCGCTCAAGAACAATATTGCACAAAAATACATGTTTCTAAAGAAGAAAAGAAAAATACACACTGTAATGTCACATTGGTACAAGCTCTAGCCCACCTCCTCAAGCGGCGAACGCAGCGTCGGCCGTCGATCAACTACTCACAAGCGGCGAAGTGCGTCGGCATTTATACTCTTGCCATCGAATGTTTTAGCGTTATCGCTGGCGGTGGCGTAGGTTCCAGAATAATCTGTAGAGTTCACAGAGTGGGCGTGATCTTATCGAAATGATCTACTAAAGTACGGAAGCTTCTCGAAAACTTTAGGCACGGTTTGAGCTGAGAATTGTGCAGTGTTTTGGGGCGATAACAAAACTTGAGAAATAGAACGTGGCAATATTTCGAGTGTCTGCGTAATGTATACTTTGTTATAAAAATTCTCAAATTTAACATAAAAAGTGTTTCTGTCTAGATTGCAGGCCTTTATTTCACAAAGGGTGCGTAGCAGAGGGGTGAAAATTCATCATCACTTAGTCAGCATGCTTATTTGTAATACTGCCAAACCTTATATCAATATCACTTTTCTATAAAATGTATAATCGCGCTAATTCAAGAAAAGAGCCTGTAAGGCAGACTTCTGACGACGATTAAAAAATTATTTTTGATTTTTTTTTTACTTTCCCCACTCATTCTACTGCCCATCAGCTTTCACAATCAATAAAGACTTGTTACATTATATAAATTTTCTTGTATTCACGGCCCTTCAAAAAATGTCCTTATGCAAGGATGAGCAACGGCAGATGAAAGTGGTAGGTGTTCTCTGCATATTAACTCTATGGTTCTCTGGCCGCGTCATATCTTGACTGATTCTCCGGTGGGTGACAGTAGCGGCGGCGCTGTAGTCACATGGTGCTGAATATCTCAGGAACATCTGCATCAGGAGCGAGCGCGCCGTAGCCTGCGAAAGCGTGTAGTTGCTCGTTTTTAGCGCGTTTAATGGGTTTCTGAATTTTAATCAGTGTATGCACAGCTTCTACGCGCAATGGTGCACGAGTGAATATGCAGGTACGCCCAAATTGCCGCGGGACATTGACTGTTTCAAGGGGCTGCCCAAACACACACACGCACACACACATCGAAAATCAGAATTTGCACGGATCTGCCTAGCTTCTCACTCAAAGCAGCGCTTTTAGCTGCGCTAAATCATTACTAGCTACTGGTGAACTACAAAGAGAGGTATCGAAACCACGATTAAATCATACGGTCGTTTTTCGGCAGTCTCTACGATACCCAGAGCAGTGGCTGTTCGTCGTATGGGTCCACATGCACTCGAATGTTTCATGAAAAACCCGAGTATAAGTAACATTGTCACAACATTCATGTCGGTGACGACTCAGTTTTTGCATGCCAGTTTTACGGAAGATAACATTTAATGCTTTTTGAAAGGTTGATTTTGGTTTAACCACGTGCTTTCGCGCCTTTCTGGGTTGGACAGTGCGAAAGTTTGCGAGGCAGTGCGGAATTATCTGAATGAAACGGAAAGACTAGCAAACTGATATTATTCTTCTGTGTCGATATACGCATAACTTCCCCTTCTTGTTCTTTTTTTTTTCAAGTTAGGTTTTGATCTCGCTTATTATCTATTACTAATACGAAAGCTCTATATTAAGTACAGATCAGTGATCATCAAAATTTCATTGTAAAGTTTGTAACGTTTTCAATATACAAGTTTCCTTACTCCAAAATCGAAATATACTTTTTAAGACCACTCAATTATTGGCTGATCCCCCGCAGTGGGTATGAGCCACAAGTGAAGGGCAACAAGAACTAGCCTACAAAGGGCTGTGCAAAGGACGGTGTTGCAGCTTTCATTGTGAATAATGTGCGTGTTCGGCTCAGACCGTGCTTTTTTCTTCTTCTCCAAAGCAGTTGTAAGCAGGGGCATGACTGTGTGGCAGATTCGGACACCTGCTTGTCGCGCAGGTCAAGGCTGGGTTCTCAATCGAACCGAAAATTTTCATTTATTTTATATAAAAATGTCTCAATTTTTTCGGC